TGGAAGGAGCCTCCACTTTTACAAGTCGTTACAAGTCGACTCTACAAAATGTTTATAAAACAAACTTAATTTTACTTATCAAACAAAACATTCATTCACTCGCTTTTCTTAAGGGTATTATAGTAGTAGAATATAGCCTAAGGTGGATAGCGTTTTGCAAAAAATAAAAAAATAAAATAATGTTATGTTGTGTTGTGTACATTCTGGCCAAAACTAATTTAGAATCTTATTATTATTTATCAATCTTTGTATATATTTATGATGTATGTTATTATTTTTTTTTTTTACCAATATAAGATGTTTGAAAATGTTAAGATTGATATGTTGCATTTTTGCATGGGTTTTGATTTATTTATTAACTATTTATCGACATAAATTTCAATAAAAATATCCTGGATTTGAAAATATTGTGTTCCTGGCCTTCACTGAGCTCAAGTAATAGTTTAATGTGCAAAAATTTGTGAATGAAATTGACTGTTGATGTCTTAAATAATAATGTCAAATAAGCAACATTTCTCAAAATGGATTTATCTCGTTTTGCAACGAAACTTCATATGTTTAGAGTGTATCGTATTTTATCCCAGACCCTGACTGTAATGTATTATGTATGTATATGTATGGAGTATATCATGTGTGTATATGTATACAGTGTATATGTATATAGTGTATCATATGTGTATATGTATAGAGTGTAACTTGTGTATATGTGCAGTATAGATTCTATGGTGTATTTTTTTCCATGCCTAAGTTTGTCTCCCAATTAACATTGTTTGAGTTAGCTCAGAGTGTATTATGTTTTATAAATTTAATCCTTTTCAAACTGTGGTACCGTACTGTGACTCCCTTCTACTGGCTTGCAGAAGAATCGCTAAATAATAAAAGAATAAAATGAACACACAGCATTGGCTGTTCTCTGAAGCATTCGATCACATTGGTGTGCTTAGAACCCAGATAGCATACAAATGTGGGCCACTTTAGGCAGTTATGCGGCACTGGTGGTATTCCTTCACCCCAGACAAAATGAATGTGAGCCTGAAGTGGCCCACTTGTACAATGGCTAAGGGGTGCCAAAGATTCAAATTCATTTATGGGCCATTTAAGGCAAAGATTTGGCGCTTATGGCTAAATGTAATCTGAATGTGAGCCCAATGTGGCCCATGTGGAAAATTATAAATTTGGCCCAAATGACAGAGGACAAATAAGGGCAAAATAGTGGCCTAGTCATTTAAGACTAATTTAGGTCTGAACCTAAAATGGCTCACACATATAGGTGCAAATAAGGCCCAATTATCTTAAAACATATGAGGGCCACTTTTGGCAAATATTTGGCACAGTAAGCTTTTGCTATTGTGGCTGTGAGCCTAATGTGGCCCAGAAAAAATATGGTAAATTTGGCCCAGTTATATTAAAACATATGTGGGCCACTTATGGCAAATATTCGGCACAGTAAGCTCTGGCTAATTCAGTCGTTAGCCTCTAGTGGCTCAGAGAAGATATGGAAAATGTGACCCAGTTATCTTAAACCATATGTGGGCCACTTTTGGCGATTGTTCAGCACAGTAAGCTATGGCTAATGTGGATTTAAGTCAATAGTGGCCCAGAGAAGATATGACAAATGGAGACCAGTTATCCTAAAATAAATGTGGGCCACTTTTGGCAAATATTTGGCACAGTTCTGGTTAATGTGGCTGTGAGCCTAAAGCAGCCCAGAGGAGATATGGTAAATGTAGCCCAATTATCTTTGAACATATATGGACCATATAGACTAAAGTCACCATCATGGAGAAAAGATTTTGCTTTAGTTGGGCTCATAGCCCTAAACCTCTTATTATAAATTTTCTTTTGGGCTGCTGTAACTTTTAAGAACTTTGCTTGAAATGTTTGTCATTACAGCAAACAAAATGAAGTGAGGCACAACCTGGGATGAAATAATATAATTCACTGATGTTTACGAATGTTTAATCCATTATTAGAAGTAATAGGCCAGATTTGGGCCAGAATAAAAGTAAACTGTGGCCCAGAATAAGGTCAGTTCTGGTTCATTTGGTTGAATTCTGGCTGATATGTATTATTGCTATGGCTTAATTGTGGCCCAGATCTGACAAACAGGACCGGACCGCCAAAGTGCCATCATTCCATGCGGTATGTGGGCCGTCCTAGAGACACATGAATTTTGCTAGCTGGGAACCCTCTTAGACCATGCGCAGAGGGTATTTTTCCGTTCCTTAAATAGCAAAAGTGGATTCGGACACGCCTTTAATGCTTTTGTGGCGTACAGTTTAGACTTGGCTCCGCCTAGATTGTTAAAATAGACCCCTTGGTGTCATGGGTTAAACTTTTCAAAAGTTTGCACATGCTGTAAAAATATGGTGAATGCAATGTAAGCATCTACCAAATACATGTATGTAAAAGACAAATATGACTTAAAATAGCTGTAAGCATTCTACGCAGGACCACCCAGAAGTTATAGATACAAGTGGAGGTTGACAGATGATGGGTAGATGTATGAGACAATATATTTGGATTAATTTTTTTTGCCCATATACATATAAGTGCAGTGGTCATCTAACATACAACGCAATCTAATATTCTAGCATTTTTTTTAGTTAAAACTTTACAACAGGGTTCTATTAGTTAATATATTTTCATAAACAATACATATCGTCATCTTAGAACTATGAGGTTCCATCTGACATTTTTGTCAAACTTGAGTTATTCACATATTTTTATCAAATGACAAATTTACATAATGGGAGGTTGTTTACATTTTAAGACTTTTTATTTAAAATAAAAAAATAAATAAAAAAATTAAAAAATAGCACTTTTTGCTTTGGTATGCAAAAAATTTGGAGCTCAATATCTCAAAATCATTCAGAACGCAGGTAGAACTTTATAATTCCGAGGTGATGAAATATTACAGTACATATTCATCTTTGTTAGTGTTGGAACTTTAGAATTTAAGAATTTATTTGTAAATGCTGAACTATGATTGATAAATGCTGTGCAGATTATTTTTATGCCAGTAAATACCATAACATCAACTAATGAAACCATATTGTTTTCCTGTTGAGTGATGAATATAAGTTTTAAATATATAGGCAGTGGTAAACCAAATATAGCCAAAGAAAAAAACAAGCAACAGAAAAAACATAGTATTTGAGCAGGTGATCAAAAAAGGTTAACATCAAGCTTTCCCAGATAGCATACAAATGTGGGCCACTTTAGGCTGTTATGTGGTATTCCTTCGGCCCAGACAAAATTAATGTGAGCCTGAAGTGGCCCACTTGTACATTGGCTAAGGGGTGCCAAAGATTCAAATTCATATATGGGCCATTAAAGGCAAAGATTTGGCACTTATGGCAAAGTGTAATCTGAATGTGAGCCTAATGTGGCCAATGTGGTAATTATATATTTGGCCCAAATGATGAAAGACAAATGTGGACCACAGTTGGCAAAAATGTGGCCAAGTCATTTAAGGGTAATCTGGGTTTAAACCTAAAGTGGCTCACACGTGTAGGTGCAAATGTGGCCCAGTTATCTGAAGACGTATGTGGGCCACTTTTAGTAAATATTTGGCACAGTAAGCTCTGGGCTCTGGCTAATGCTGCCATTTGCCTATAGTGGCCCAGAGAAGATATGGAAAATGTGGCCCAGTTATCTTAAAACATATATGGGTGACTTTTGGCAAATATTCGACACAGTAAGCTCTGGCTAATGTGGATTTGAGCCTATAGTGGCCCAGAGGAAAATGTGGCCCAGTTATCCTAAAACAAATGTGGACCACATAGACTAAAGTGACCATCATGGTGAAAAGTGTTTAGTTGGACTCATAGCCCTGAACCTCTTAATATAAATTTTCTTTTGGGCTGCTGTAACTTTTAAGAACTTTGCTTGAAAAGTTTATTTATTACAGCAAACAAAATGAAGTGAGGCACAACCTGTGATGATATAATATAATTCACTGATGTTTACCAACGTTTAATCCATTATTAGAAGTAAAAGGCCAGATATGGACCAGAATAAAAGCAAACTGTGGCCCAGAGTAGGGTCAGTTCTGGTTCATTTGGTTGAATTATGGCTAATATATGGTATTGCTTTGGCTTATTTGTGGCCCAGATCTGACAAACAAGATCGGACCGCCCTAGAGCCATCATTCCATTCAGTATGTGGTCCAGATGTAAGTGTCTGGTGTGGGCCGGATCTGGGCCAGAATAAAAGCAAACTGTGGCCCAGAATAGGGTCAGTTCTGGTTCTTTTGGTTGAGTTCTGGCTGATATGTGACATTGCTATGGCTTAATTGTGGCCCGGATCTGGCAAACAAGAGCGGACCGCCTAAATGTCATCATTTCATGCTGTATGTGGGCCAGATGTAAGTGTCTGGTGTGGGCCGGATTTAAGCCACATGAATTTTGCTAGCTGGGAGTGTTTATTTTTCATGTCATTAGATGTTAAATATTAGTCCGCTTGGCGCAGAGCCAGAGGAAGAGGCACACAGCACTTGCAGAGCAGATACGCGCTAGAGATGCCTTTTAGCAGAACTGTGTTGTTTTGTTGGAACTTCAGTTACTGCAAATTCAGGAATTTTATTAATTAGGCCTACTTCGCTACTGTATTTTAATACTGGTCATTATGGTGGCACTTGGAAAGACAATTTTGGTGGTACTTGGTGAAAAAAGTTTGAGAACCACTGGTTTAAGGTATTGACAACTTACAGCACAGTTAGCTAAATGAGGTCAGGAATCTAAGAACTGTGTTCAGCCAATAGTTTTTATGATTTTAGCAATTGACAAACTGTAATATCTAGTAAGCTATTAGTTGGGTTTAGGTATTGGGTAGAATCAGGGATGTAGATTAAGATTGAGCAGAATATTAATACAAATAAACAGCCAATATCTTAAGCAGGCAATAAGCCACTTGTTAATTGTGATAACTGTCACTTAAACTAAAGTGTTAACTTTTGTTTTAATTTCAGAAATCTGGTCACCTCAATCAGAATTGATTTATACTTTTCTGGAGGATTTATTGGGCTTACTAATTTACCACACAGCAATACTAGTTTAGCAGGCACATTTTATACATTACATTACATTATACATCTCAACAGGTCATTGCTTTCTAAATATACAACAAATAAGATTCTAGTACAACTCTGTGTTGATGAAAAGGGCAATTGTTATTGCAGTTATGAAAGTCTTCAGTTCTTGCATTTTTCTCCAGACTCTCTTTCAGCTCTTCACTTCTCTCCCCTTCAGATTCTCAAATTTCAGAGCTTCTCTCATGTGATTTGCTGCCTTCTCAAATGGATCGGTGACAGCTTCAATGTAGGGCTTTAGTGCACACTTTACAACGCTCATTTCCTCTTCTATACGATTCTTTAGCATGTCAGCACCTTCTGTGATTTGGGTCATCAGAGGATCCATCGTTTCCTTCAGGTTGGTGGTGTGCTGACTGGTCATATTGACATTATTTGTGATATTAAAAATCTTACTAGAAGTTATTGGTAGCAGATTTCTATAAAGAAAATACAAATCTTGACCTACTTGAGTTCTTGTCCCACTTGGGAAGTCTGAATCTTCTCAATGGTTTCCTCTGCAGTGCGTCTGGCTTGGTCAACGAAGCTCCTGAATACATCAGCTAACTTTAGTTGTGGCTTGGGTTCATCAGCATCGAAAAGGTTGGCTTGGCAACCTGCAGATATCAATAATATATGTTCAAATAATATAATCTTTTTTATATATATTCTGCTATCCACAAAAAAATGCATATGCAATAGATGCAAATGAATAGCGTGAATAAAATACATTGAAAGACAGTGAAGACTTTTTTCAAAGCACCATAAAAACTATTTGCTAAATTTGTTTTGTCTTGTCTAACCTGTACACATCGCCAATGTAATAACCAGGAGAATCTTCATAATTTTTAGTTTTAGTCTGCAAGAAAATTACAGACATGAAGTAAGATATAAATCAAATAGAAGCAAAGTAATATAATAATAATATTAATAAAAAACTCTTAAAAAAATATCAAATTTTAACCTGCGTTGGTGTGTTTCAACTCAATTTGTCCCATCTGAAGTTAAATTGTGAATCAACAGCGGTTGTTAATCTGCATTTATACTAACAGAAGTGATTGTCGCAATGAAGACCCAAAGTCCAGTGGGTAGTGCGTGACTCATGATTACTCCATATCAAAATGTCCTGATTGGAACTTTTTGTCACTACAAATCCTCACGTTCAAAGCAAACATAAAACTCAGTGTGTGTTTGTAAGCAATGGACACTTCAGAACAAGTACAGATCTGTATTTGGTATTGCACCACAACTAGAATTATGGTGTTTTGGCAGAATTGTTTTCTAATACATTTTTTGTGGAGCATTTTTGGTTAAAAAAAAGATGATGGCTGTTTGTTGTGGCATATACACCTGTTAAGAATATCACCATTCTGTTAAATTGTTTTTATTGATTTATAGTTGGGCGTCACGGTGGCACAGTGGGTTGCATGATTGCCTCACAGCAAGAAGGTCACTGGTTCAAGCCTCGGCTGGGTCAGTTGGCATTTCTGTGTGGAGTTTGCATGTTCTCCCCATGTTTCACGTGGTTTTCTCCGGTTGCTCTGGTTTCCCCCACAAATCCAAAGACGTGGTATAGGTGAATTGGGTTGGTTAATTGTTCGTAGTGAATGGGAGTGTATGGGTGTTTCACAGTGATGTGTTGCAGCTGAAAGGGCATCCGCGGCGTAAATCATATGCTGAAGTTAGCAGTTCATTCTCCTTTCGCGACCCCAGATTAATAAAAGGACTAAGCCAAAAAGGAAATGAATGAATGAATGATTGATAGTTATGGTCAAATGTGTGGCATTTGTAAACATCACAAACATTTTGTCTGAAAAATATTTGATATTTTATTAAATAAATATCCAGCACCACACATTAAAACAGAACATTTGCAAATGTAAAGGACATTGAATATTGCACAGTTAGGAAACTAGACTTAATTTATGGCATGATAGGATGAATCGATAGAAAAAAACATGGATCAAATATGTCAAATTTCGAAGTTTGTGAAGAGTTAATTTGGTAAAAAAGAGAAGTCTTTAATGCATTTAATTTCTCTTGATGAAAGAGTCATACAGAGAAGCGAGCTGGTCCTTCAAGTTCTGTGCATAGGGGTCCAGCTTCTCCTTCACATCTTCAGCATAGGGTGTAAGACTCTGCTGGACCATCTGGGCTCTCTCTCTAATCTGGACCTGCAGATCCTCGGTCAGGGGAGTCACGGTCTTCTGGAACTCCTGCAGATGCTGGTCCACTTTCTCCTTGAGTTCAGCAGTGTAGGGCTCCAGCTGAACCTGCAGCTCCTTCACACTCTGCTCCAGGTTTCCTCTCAGCTCCTCACTCTTCTGGAGCAGAGTGGCCTTCAGGGTCTCAGAATCCAGGGAGTCAGCATACGGAGCCATGGCCGCCCTGAGCTCCTCCACTCTCTGCTGGATCTGGCTCTTCATGTTGTCAGCATAGGGCTCGAGTTTATCTCTCACATTGATCAGGTCCTGGCCCAGACGCTCCCTCAGCACTTCAGTCTCCTTGGTGATTTTGTTCATCAGCTCTTCAGTCAGAGGATCCACCTGTTTCTTGAGGACGACGGCGTATTCACTGGCCATATCAGCACTCTGGGTCAGTCTTTCACTGTGAGGTAAAGAAGAACATTTGAGTTTCATTCAGAAATACTCTAAATAATGATGTCCAGCAGGTAAATGTTCTTGACTTACTTGACTTCTTGACCCAGTTGAGACTCTCTGATCATCTTAATGGATTCCTCTGCGGTTTGTGTTGCTTTAGAAACATAGCTCCAGAATGCATCTGTCAGCTGCTCCAGCTGTGGTTTGGGCTCATCAGCATAGAATATATTGGCCTGGCAGCCTGTTGATTGAAAGATTTAAACAGATTAAATGATGTTGTAAATAAACACTAAATTTATTAAGCCTGAAACATTTTGAAGAGGCTAAAAGTTTAATTATAATTTTAGTTTCTTACCTGTAACCACAGCAAGTGTGAGCACCACAAGAACCTTCATGGTCTTCACTTTTAGTCTGTAATTAAATGACATGTTTCATCAGCATTGTTTTTTTTCTCTGTCAAATCATCATTATAGCAGTACCTTAAATGGAAAGAAAGTAAGTCTGTCCTCTTACCTGTGTTGGTGTGCTTTAATTGATGCTGTCCTGTATGAGGAACAAGTGTGAAGGTGGATATTTCACATCTGTATTTATACAGTATAGCACAGGGAGGTGACTGCTGTAGTGGAAACCCAAAGTCCAATAGGTAGTGCCTTGCTGTCAATGCTCCACATCATAATGCTCTGAACTGCACCTTTAACCATCACAGACTTTCAGATTCAGAGCAGATATTGATAACAGTGGAACTTTGCATTTTAGTTTTTATGAGTTAGCACTCGAAAGGTTATGAAAGGGATTTAAATTTTCTTGAAACATCAATTTATTAAATATATCACAAAATGAGTGATCTGGAAAACATATTATTTAAGGCCCATCTTAAAAACTTAATCCATGCAGAGTAATTTGAACCACTGACCTAATAAAAAGTCAAATGATTATAAATAAATAAATAAAAATAAATTAATAAAAACAATGTTATGTGTGTTCAGATGATGTCTGACAGATCTGTTGGCATTTTACTTTTGTATAAAAACTGCTTTAAAACAGATACTAAATTTTGCTTCTGATGTGATTCTGGTGTTATAAGTGGTTTTAAATGTAATATATTCAATGGTTGGTTAATTCTGTAATTTTGCCACTGGACCTCAATATGAACATAATGTCATGAATGTCATTAACATAATGCCAAAAGAACATAATGTTAAATAATCCATAACAAATTTTGACTGGTTAGTCTACAGTAAGGAAATGTATATTTTTAATCATATATTCTCTTTTCAGCACAGCTATGTAGTACAATTTACAAAAAAATGGAAGCATATTTCACCACTAGAGAGCAATGTCACTACTTTTCATTATACGAGTTAAGTGTTCTATTTCCCAGAGTTGGTTTGCGGCTGGAAGGGCATCTGACCCCAGCTTAATAAAGGGACTAAGCCGAAAAGAAAATGAATGAATGAATGAATGAATGAATGAATGAGTTAGTGTTCTATTTACAAGCTATGCATTTGTTGAAATATATAAAAGAATAGGTGATTTAACTGTAATGACTTATTTTCAATTGGTACACAGCATGCACTGTCAGAAATAAAGGTAAAAGAGCTATCACTTGGGCAGTACCTTTTCAAAAGGTGCACATATGTGGCTAAAGGGTCCACATTGGTACCTCAAAGATACATTTTAGGTGCGTTTGTGTACTAATATGTACCTCGAGGTAATACTTTGGACTCTACAGGTACAAATATGTATCTTTTGAAAAGGTACTGCCCCAGTGACAGCTCCTGTGCCTTTATTTTTGAAAGTGTTGTAGCAATGTTTTAAAATCAAAAGTGACTTTCAATTAGTATTTTGGCACTACGCTGTGATCCTTAAAAACAAAGTTCACCCCAAAAATGAAATCACTTTAATCGTTTACTTAGCCCTTAGTTGTTCAAAACCTATTCGAGTTTTTCTTTTTTTTTTTTCTGGTGAACACTAAACAAGTTATTATAAAAAATGCTGATTGACTGTACCCATCAACTTCCGTAGTATTTTTCTTATACACTCCCAGAAATAAAGATACAATATCTTTCACTGGGGTGGTAACCTTGTCAAAAGGTACAGTTTTTTTACAGGTCCTTTAAGGTACATATAAATAGCTAAATGTCTAAATGCATAGCACCTTAAAAGTGTACCCTAAAGGTAGTAATGTCCACCTGTATGGTACAAAAGTGTACATTTTGAAAAAGGTACTAAACCAATGACAGATTTCTGAGTGTGTAATTACTGTGAAACATCTTGCTGTAAAATATAATTTATTGTGTTCAACAGAATAAAGAATCTCATAAAGGTTTACAACTAGTAAATCGTGGAGAGAGGTCTGGATGCAGACCTGGTGCAGTGCAATCCGAGCTGCATCCAATGCTTTTTAATGCGCTCACCCAATCCCACCTCTGACCATACCCGCCACAGTCACGTCACTCACTCCATTGAGTGCATTGTGTCTGACATTGCATCGCTGAGTGATACAATCTTAGCTTGCGTCACAAAGGCTGCATCCAGATACTTTTGAAATGGTGGGGATTATTACACTGATTGATATGGTAGTGTTTAAATAATGGCCAGAATGCATGAAAATCTTTTTTTCCCCTCAGACAAAAATATAAATAATGCTCAAATTCCCCCTTTGAGCCTTAAAAGTTAGCATGCTTTGCAAAAAAACGACGCCTCTTGTTGCACATTCTGGAATAATAAACGGTGCAAAGAAATCATTTGTAAAATATGTTTTCTATAAAAGACATAAACCTACACAGAAGGTAGATGTTTTATTGCTGTATTAACAGAAACAAGTGTAAGAAAAATGCAATGCAATGCAGAATTATAAAAGAGAACTCAGACATAACTCAGGTTAATTATGGGACTTGAGATCTTCTGTTGAAGCAACAAATGATTCTTTCATCTCATGCATATATTGGTGCACATTCTCCTTGAGTTCAGCAGTGAAGGGCTCCAGCTGAGTCTGCATGTCCTTCATGCTGTGCTCCAGGCTTCCTTTCAAAGTCTCGGTATTCAGGAAGCCTGCATATGGACCCATGGCTGCCTTGACCTCCTCCACCTTCTCCTCGAGTTGGCTCTTTAGATGGTCAGCATAGGGCTCCAGTTTATCTCTCATGGTGTTCAGGTCCTGTTCCAAACGTTGCCTCAAGATTTCAGCCTCCTTGGTGATTTTGGTCATCAGGTCTTCAGATGCAGGAGCCTGTGTTTGCCTAATGGACAGGGGAAATACTAAATTCATGTCTAGAAAATGTTAATTTTGTTTCAAATAAAATTTGTGGTAAACTTACTCTACATTCTGGGACGCGCTGGTCATTTGGGAAGTTTCATCAGAAGTATTTACGGTTTGGAAAATATAGGTCCAGAAAGCATTTATGAAGGGTTGCAGACGAGGATTGTGCAGCTCTTTGGAATTAGATGAGTTGGCCTGGCAGCCTGTCATTAGGGATTGAATAAATCAGATCATTTCAACGTCATTTTGGAGCAACATAGTGCCATTTTTGACATTTCAGGTTTGGAATAGCATCATTTTAACATCACATTCTTGAAATGTATAGCATCTTAATACAATAAGAAAGGAGTATCATTATGTTTTAATCACACACTACTTATACTAATAATAAAACAATAATGGAAATAGTAATGTTAGTCTTTAAACAGAGAAAAATATGGGGTTTTATAATTATTCAAGACAACTATGAGAATATAACTGAACTTTGTCTAAACATTTAAAGGAATGATGGTGGGAGAATGTAATTAGGCTAGACAGAGCTTCTTGCCATGAAAACAAAGTTCAATCTTCCTCTGAAAACTTAACTAAACAGTACCATGTAAATGTTAAATAAAAGAAGGACCAATACAGGTCACACTTTATTTTGATGGTTCATTTGTTGAATTTAAGTTACATTGCATCTACATGCCAACTAATTCTTATTAGATTATAAGTAGACTGTTCGGTTGGGGTATAGTGTGAGTTGACATGTACTTGCAAAGTTTCTTATAGTCAGTTAAATGTCTGTTGAAAGAGCAGTATCAACAGATATTAAGCAGTGTATTAATACTCAAATGGACCATCAAAATAAAGTGTTACCCAATTCAAAGCCTTCTGAAACACCGGAGATATCGAAAGAATAAAATGATATAAAGAGTTCAGATGCAAAAACCTCTAAGTGCCATCAGAAATTTTGTTCTAAGTTTAGCATTTTTCTCAGGCTCCTATGTTTTGATTAAGTAATTTCACTTTATGGCAAAGAATAGGTTATTTTCATCGCTTTTAATAATAAAAAAAATGAACATAAACATAAGAGGCTGAAAAAATGCTCCTTGTAGAAGAAAATTAGAAGTGGCGCTTTTAGGTTTTTGCATCTGATCTCTTCATTTTGATTTTTTTGTTTTTGCACATAATAAATGTGAGCAGAGAGGAATAATATTAGGGGTACCAGGATTTCTAGCAGAAATAATTATTATACAAAAATCATCATTTATATTTGTCTACAAAACTATGTGCAAAATATATTTGATATGCTTTAGAATCTTGCTTTTTAAAACAACAAAACTGTATTTTTTTTTTCACCAGTTCCATATCTAACCTGTAAAAACAGCCAATACAAGGACCGCAAGAGTCTTCATGGTTTTGAAGATTAGTCTGAAAAATAAAATGAATATAATGTAATGAAATGCACGCTATTTAACATATTAAAACATATTTGATATTTTTAACTAATAATGAACGTCTCCTCTTACCTTTGTTGGTGTGATTTAATTGACACTGTCCAGTGTAAAGAGCAAGTATGGAGATGGCTGTTTCATAGCTGCTTTTATACAGGATTGGGAATAAATTTGAGTATCTCCTATCTGGATATGTTGGGACTACATATTCTTGTGTGGGTAATCTGGACGTCACTTGAAAAGACCATGGGCATGAGTTACTGCACACATCTGCATCAGTACTGATAACAAAGAACGGACAGACATCATGTTAAGGTATGATTTGTCATATTATAAGTACAACCACAAATGACTGTAAGTTCCACCTTTGGAAAGTTCTCAACCTTATCTTATCTTTATTATGCGTCAGTTGAGATGACCTTGATTTTTGCACGAGTCTATATTTGATAGTTTCTTTTAAATAATATTTCTGGCAAATGTACAGACATTCAGAAATACAGTTTTTTTTTTAACATTTCTAATGCCAAATTTGAATTCTACAAACCTTAAATATTACTACCACAATGGATGTCTAGTCCCTAATAGGTCTTTTTGACATTTCTGGGATGTCTTATTTGAAGTGCAGTTAATGGGAGAGTACTACAAATAGTTTTTTTTTTTTTTTTTTGAGTTATTTTTTATATTTAAATTTTTATATTATATTTTTTCCCTCAATTTTTGTTTATTGGAGAGAAGATTTTTTTTTACACATTTCTAAACATAAAAATTTTAGTAAATCATCTTTAATAACTGATTTATTTTATTAAAAATATATTTTATAAAAAAAAATATTTTATTAAAAATATAGCTTAAAGGGGCAAATTATTTTGACCTTAAAATGGTCTAAAAAAAATTCAAAACTGCTTTTATTCTACCTAAAATGAAACAAATAAGACTTCCTCCAGAAGAAAAAATATTATCAGACATACTGTGAAAATTTCCTTGCTCTGTTAAACATCATTTGGGAATATTTAAAAAGAAGGAAAAAAAAAAATCCTAATAATTAGGGGGGCTAATAATTCTGATTTCAACTGTATATACGTATTTTTTGCATTGCAATTTACTTTTTTTGATGCAAAGCTGATATAACAAAAAGTAAAGATTTAGAAATGTATATATATATATATATATATATATATATATATATATATATATATATATATATATATATATATACATTTTTTTTATTAAATAATGATAAACTTTTAAGAAGCCGAGGATTGTTAAACCATTTATTCATTTATTTTTAGAAATAACTTTGTTTGTTTGGTGCTTTCATTAGGAATGTGTAATCTTGTCATGGCGTATTTCATTGATAAAAAAAAAGAAGTAATGTTGTCTTTGTGCTTTTTTAGAGCTAGAAATGTAATATTTAAAAATGTATTATGATTCAAAGTCACTTGTAATGCATTACATGTGTGGGTTGAGTGGACATAATGCTCAGAAGCACTGTGTTAATAAATTGCAGGTGTTTTATTGTTGCATAAATACGACAAATGATACACTTGGCATTTATACATTTGCAAGAAAAGCATTTTCTGTCAGAAGTAATAAAGAGTTGCTTAATAAATACACAACAGTTAGAAAGTGAGTGAAATTTCTGCATCTGGTGGGATGGCTAATGTGTAAACAACTGTATTTTAGAACAAAACCAATCCCCAATTCCTTTATGTATATTAGTGTTTGACCCAAAAAGATCTTGTTGTTGTTTAGAAGTGTGATTTGGGTCACAGTAATTGGAGAGTTAGATTTTAGAGTAAAAAAAAAAACTCATAAAAGGAAAAACAGTTCTGTTAGTGACATACAGTAGGAAGAAGTCTGTTGAGCATTTAATATCTCTTGGTGAAAGAATCGTACAGAGAGATCAGCTGGTCTTTTAGGTTTTGTGCATAGGGGTCCAGCTTCTCCTTAAGGTCTTCAGCATAGGGTGTAAGACTCTGCTGGACAATCTGGGCTCTCTCTCTAATCTGGACCTGCAGATCCTCAGCTAGAGGACTCACAGTTTTCTGGAACTCCTGCAGATGCTGGTCCACTTTCTCCTTGAGTTCAGCAGTGTAGGGCTCCAGCTGAGCCTGCAGCTCCTTCACACTCTGCTCCAGGTTTCCTCTCAGCTCCTCACTCTTCTGGAGAAGAGTGGCCTTCAGGGTTTCAGAATCCAGGGAGTCAGCATACGGAGCCATGGCCGCCCTGAGCTCCTCCACTCTCTGCTGGATCTGGCTCTTCATGTTGTCAGCATAGGGCTCGAGTTTCTCTCTCACATTGATCAGGTCCTGCCCCAGACGCTCCCTCAGCACTTCAGTCTCCTTGGTGATTTTGTTCATCAGCTCTTCAGTCAGAGGATCCACCTGTTTCTTGAGGGTGACGGCGTATTCACTGGCCATATCAGCACTCTGGGTCAGTCTTTCACTGTGAGGTAAAGAAGAACATTTGAGTTTCATACAGAAATACTCTAAATAATGATGTCCAGCAGGAAGATTTTGACTCACTTGACTTCTTGACCCAGTTGAGACTCTCTGATCATCTTGACGGTTTCCTCTGCAGTTTGTGTTGCTTTGGAAACATAGCTCCAGAATGCATCTGTCAGCTGCTCCAGCTGTGGTTTGGGCTCATCAGCATAGAATAGGTTGGCCTGGCAGCCTGGTAAAAAATACAAATAATTAAATCTATGTTCCCCAATCAATTTCCAAATCTGCACCAATTATAAACATTCAAGTGAGTTTTTTTATATATATAACCACTATACAACCGCTGAACCCGAGAAGAAAGTGCACCAATAACTGCAATTCTCATTAGACTATTAGCTGACTGCTTAATAACTGTTGACACTGCTCCACCAACAGACATTCTCCTCTCCATGTAACTTACACTAACCCTAACCTTACAATCTATAAATACTCTAGTACTCTAGTATTTATTTAGTAGTAGAATCAACAAAATGTGCAAAAGGTACCATTAAAACAAAGTAACCCCAAATAAACATAAAGAATGCAAAAGCCTATAAGGGCTCTCTAAAAAATATTCTAAAACAATTTTCAAGGCTCCAATGTGAACTTTAGATGCAGTAAATCCGCCATCAAAATACAGTGATACCATCTTCATTTATATCATTTTATATACACACATATAGATGTATTAAAAAAGCTAAACCAAAAGAGGATTTACCTGTGAATGCCACAAAGGCAAGTATCAGATACAGTTTCATCTTCACTGTTGTTTGCTAAAAAGAGAAAATGATTTTAATTATTTGCATTAAAATGTCTTAAACGGTGCATGTTTATATGCATAATACATTTCAGTCATAGTCTGTCAAGCTCAAATTACCTTCAAGTCCCACTGGTATTGCTTAGTCCAGTAAGCTTTAGTGAGGACAGTCGGCTATATATATCCATAGAAAAAAATCAAAGTCCAGCTTCCAATGCCATGTTGTCAGTGGCGCTCCCCCACCATCACTTTCAGCCTGCGGTCACATGATGCGATGCTGTCCTTTGAACTGACTGATACTAAGGCTCAATACAAATTAATGTCAGAGAGATTACTATTTTTACTTTCTCTAAACACAGACTCAATAGATATTATATTATATGGCATACAAAGCCGTCAGCATTAACCCTTTAACAGGCATTGTAACCACCTGGTTGACCTTTTATCCATAGGTTACCATTATCATAGGATATCATAGTATTTATCAGTATAATATTTATCAAATTTGTGTTAGAATCTTTTTTCTCAAGTTCTGCATGTTAAAGGGTTAACCTCAATTTTAAAAATGAAATTGCACAAAAGGAATTAGATCTTTACAGTCTATTTGCTGTAATTTACTGAGTATAAGTGATTGATTTACTTTAAGTAGTTTCACGTTTTTAAATGAGTGATTTTTAAAATCAAAAGGGTGGGAAACTTGTATGAAGTTTTTCTTAATGTTCATATTTTTCATTAAACAATATAAAGTTATGACCTTTGCGCCTCCACAATATTTAGTTCAGATGGACATGTGAACTTTCAACTAAGGGTAAATTGGGGCAGTTGTCTTTCACATGTGGCTGCGTTGTCTTTGTGCCTTCACTAATTTATTTAATTTATTTTGATACTAAGTCAACTAAAGAAAGAAAGAAAAATGTTTTATGTTTATCATAACAGTGTCATCATACAGTAGCGTATGTTGATATATGCAAAGGACAATCACCCCATTTTTTATTATTATTGTTATTATTTATGGAGGTATTAGTTTTAGGATTATTATGGCATTATAATATCTGTTATTTTTGGAGAAATTATTACAAATTTTTATTTACAAATTATGTTTTTCTTCTGATTAGTAAAATGTTGGTGAAATAAAAAGTTTAAAAATTAAAATGTATGTCATTTCAATTATTTTAGGGGGGTTATTTTTGTTTCATTACAATAATAGTGATTTAATTAATTTTGATCAACATAAACATTTTTTGTGCATCACAGAAGTGAAGTACGAGTAAATAGAAATCTATTCTTTTGAGACTAGTGTGAAATTTTGAATGTTTTATCAATTTTTAATATTTTATCTTGAATGATTAAATTTGACTGTTTTTCTAAACTGTTTTATATCTGTATTTTTTGTGTAAAGCACTTTGAGAATTAAGTTTTAACGGTGCTATATAAAATAAATTATTATTATTAAAAACATCTGTAAAATAGGGCATAATTTACTTTATCAAAATTAACAAACTATAAAATAAACTATAACTCTTACTGGAGAACTAAATTGGGCAACTTGTGTCAGTTCACGCCTGCCATTTTTATGATTTGGATGATTTTAATGTTTGTATTAACTGAATAATAATTTGAGTATATGTTCTGTAAGATCAGTTGTGTTCTGCTTTAATTAGCACGTGTAAGTTGCTGTTTTAACATAGTGTGGACTTTATAGTTCAGTTCAGTTGGCTCGTATTCACTTTCTGTTCAAGCCCCTCCAAACGGCAGGCACACCTCTCTCGTCGTCCAGCCAGCGTGGAGGGGCAGAGTCCACTTACAACACTTCAACTGCATATCTGATTTCCTCCACACATAAACATTTACTGTAGCCTTGAGGATTTAGAGCAACAACATGCAATCTGTGTCACTCTTATCAAACACAATGTTAGATTTTTGTGCTCTTTTTATCATCATCAATATTATTATTACAACAGTAAAGTTATCTTAAATATATTTGTTATTCAGGCCTGTTTTCTATGTCCATGTAAGTTATTAATGTTTGCATATATTTACTGGCCACTTAAAACTTGCTATTACCTTCAGAAGTGCCTTAATAATTATTGTCATACATTTAAGTTTTTGTAAACATTCTTCAAAGATTCAGTTTTGACACAGCCATCCAAATGTCACTATAATTCAGTAGTTCTCAATTCCAGTCCTTAGGCCTCCATGCCCTGCACATTTTGTATGCCTTCGTTGCTTAACATACCTGATTCAGATCATCGACACATTTACAGAAATCCATTAACTGATCTTTGTGTGACAAATAAGAAAGACATGCAAAACGTACGGAACCAATTAAGAACAGACTGCTATAATTGTAGCTTCTGTTTGCTGTTCTTATCTGGCTGGAGTGTCAACTACATCAGTATTTCTCAACCACATTCCTAGGGGACCACCAGGTCTGTACATTTTCCATGTCCCCTTAACCAAACACACCTGATTTACATCATCAGATCATTAGCACAGACTGAAAGACCTGTAATGGGTGTGACAGACAAAAGGGACAACCAAAGCATGCAGTGTTGGACGTCCTCCAGGAACGTGGTTGAGAAACACTGAACAACCAACACAATCTCATGGAAATTTGTAACTTTTTGATTTAGTGAAAAATAACTCAAGAAGTCTGTTACCACAACATAGTTTAATACATTGTTGCAACTTAAAAATTCTAAATTGCTGATTAGAGTGTTGGCTACTCTTGGTAAATACAGTTGATGTTAGCATTGTTGTTTAGTTTGAAAAAAAAAATGTTCTTGTTTTACAAGATTACACAAGAATTTGAGAAGGAACTTGAAAGGCAAGTGATGACAATTTCCATCCCTGGTGATCAGTCTACTATGGAATTGAACTACAAGATGGAAACCATTATGGTTGAGGGCATAAGAATCCTAAATGGAATGGATATCTCAAGGTACTCTGCTCTGCTGACGGGCATAATAGGCTCTAAATCTAAGCTACCTCAAGGAACTTAAAAATACTTGTGAAGTTTCTCGAACTCGATGGACTGAAGCCCAGTGCAAAAGTAATGCATCTCAAGAACATTATTTTCTGAAATCTCTATTTCGAAGTAGATTTTGCTCTTTATGTTGCACTCTATGCTGTTTTGTATTTTTAAGTTCACACACTGATGTTTTTTGTTATTTTTCAGACTGTTTATATGAGACAGTGCACATTTTTTGTTTTGCAAAATACTGAAAAACTGTAAATAAATAGCAATTAATGCAAAGCAAAAATGTTGGATGTATTTCTTACATGAACAGGAAATTTGAAAACATACAAAACTATTTTAATTTATTTGAGATTCTAAACATGAAAACTTGCATGTATAATTATGGTAATTAAGTACATAACACTGGATTTATTTTACATTTTAATAAAAAAAATAGTTATTTATAGTTAAAAAGTGGAGCTTTATTGAAATGCCTCTGAAGAGGAAAAAGTCATTTGGCTAACATAATAAAGCTTGTTGTATGAACTTCATTTTGTCAAATAATGTCGTTACTTGAATATATTGATGCAAACTATTGTGTTATTTATTTATTTTTTTGTTTGGTCTAAACAATATTTTTTAGAGTGTAGTTCATATGAATTTGTACGATTTGTTTATTCCACCAAAAACAGTTGGGTTTAGGGGCAGTGTTGAGTGCCATGTCTCCTTTTTAAAATCGCACATTTTCATACAACTTAAGTCATCTGAATTAGCCACTAAACCGACAAAATATAAAATCGTTTTGCACATTTTCAACGTTTTTTCGTGAGATTAGGCTGTAACAACATGCAATAGAATCTGACTGCAGACTTGCATACGCTAGCTAAGTCATGCAATATCAGATACAATGCTTTCAATAGAGTTAGTGACGTCACTATGATGGGCACGGTTAAGCCACCTTTCCTCTGTACACGACTTTAGGACACGACTGTCAGAATACGCCCCCTTAAGGCAGTCACACAGAATATTCAGTTTTGTCATGCACCATGGGAGAGCTCGCTGTGCAAAAGCAAGAGCCTTTATTCTCTGTGCATTCACCATGGTTGAATAAATGAATACTAGAGACTCATAGACCGCCAAAAATTTTGGAGGGAATGTGGAGACAACATAAAAAAATGTATTACTCATTTTTGAATAGAAATGTGTTTTTTGAATATAGAATTTTTTCTGATTAAAAAAAATAAATAAAATAAAATAAAAACGCTTATGGACCTGCTTGGGTGATACTGAAATTCATCACATCCGGTTAGCCGGTCGCATTCGGTCTAGTCGTGGTAGTTCAAATATTTCAATGTATCTGCAGCTCTATTCGGATCTGAGTTTTCCGTTCTGCCGCTTGTCGTGTGAAGTGGAAAATCAGCTTTAGGGGTGGGGTTAGATGTGTGCATTTTTAAGCATTGCATGCAGCTCAGCTTGCATCTGCAGCTGGTTTGCAGCCAAACCTTTCTCACTATATGCATGTTCTTCTGCTCCTGGAGCTCATTCTTGTAGGTCATTCTTGTAGGTTGCTCTGTGTACATTTTGTTGCACGTTTCAGATGACAAACCTACAAGAGGGCACTGTCTACATTTTTGCGAATCTGAAATAATTTACTTGTAGCATGTTTTGTTGTACATTTTAGATTCTTTCTTTGAGATGACTATAAGAAGGTAGGGCTTGGTCTACAAATCATCTACCGAACTGCTCATCTAAGCCCAACAAACCAAACCCGAGTGCACCACATTACAAGTTTAACACCACCCAAAAAAAGGCTACAGAGCAAACTGACCACCATTAAAGTTGTCCATATGGAGATATTACATTGTTTTGTGGTATTTATTTATAAATGGTGCAAAAAACTTCACAAAAAACAATCCTTTATTGCAGTGTTTCTCAACCACGTTCCTGGAGGACCACCAACATTGTATGTTTTAGATGTTTCCTTTGTATTTCATTCCCATTACAGATCTTTCATTGCCTACTCACACTATGCTATCCGAACCGCGCCCAGGCCCTTTCCCGGATTGTTTGAGAAGTGTGAGTGCGCTGAATCGGGCTCAGGCACGGTTTACTTGGCTGGCCCTGGCCCGGTTGGAAGAGGTGGGCCTGAGCACGGTTCACTTGGGCTTTGGCGCAGTACGCTTGTAGTGTAAGTGCA